CCCTCACCGCTCTAAGCGATGACCTTGCCTCAGTAGCCCAACGACATTTTAGCGCCTATATCAGCGGTATCTCGACGACCTCCACTCTACCTGCCCTGTCCCCTTCCCCTTCCCCTTCCCCTTCCCCTTCCCCTACTCCAAATTCCTTACCCCCTTCACCCCCTCCCTCACGTCCCCTCTCAGGTCTTGAACAGACGACTTATGCGACTATTACCTAATATGCCCTGGTCAAATTAACTCCTACTACTCACTCCAAAGCCTATGTTAAAAAGCCTATGCCTCTAGTGAAACAACCCCTTCCTGACAACTGGCTCTTCGTACGCCTCCCAGCTGACCATGCAGCTAGAAAAATAGAAGCCTACGCTATCTACTCTAGCCTACGGTCTCAACTAAACTCAAACAGTTCAGCACTAAAAGAAGTTCAAGCTACAAAGACTGGTTTTGCACTATGTCCCTCATCCCCAGAAGCCCTCCTAACCCTTAAGGCCCAAAAAGAGATTATCTCTGCATTCTTTGTGAACTGCCAGATAGAACATAGCTCCCGATGGGTCTTGTACCGAGTCACCAATGTGCCAAGGAAAGTTGGCCAAATCTTGGACAGTCAATACTCTCTAATCCCTGTCAATCCTACACTACTATCCTCAGAAATCAGTGAAACTACAAGACTCAAGCCTATATCTATTAGCGAGACCGCTACAAGTGCCGCCAACCCTGATACTCTTTCCTTAAGCTGGTTTGTCAACTTCCCAGAAGGCACAAAATTACCACTGCTTATCCAGCTACACCTTTTTGGCACTATTACCAATGCTCGTCACCTCTCTAAGAGAATAATAGTTATCCAATGCACACGATGCTGGAAATGGTATAATGCATAATCCTGTGCCTGCCCCTCTCGATGCCGGCTCTGCGGCTCCTCAGAGCATACTGAATAGGGACATGTTAACTGCTGCACAGCCCTGGAGCCTCATCAGTGCCCTCCTAGATGTATACACTGCCATGGACCACATCCTGCTGATTTCCCAGAATGCCTCCTGCGCCCTAAAGGCAACTCTAAACATACTAAAGCTCAATAAGCAGAGATCCGGAAATCCTGTGCTATTAACCTTGCAAAAGCTCGAACTGAAGGAGGATGTAGCACTCAGCTCTCCATTGGCACACAAGAAACACCTATGGCACTAGACGAGATGCCAACTCAGCCTCCAACCCATGAGATTATCTCTCCTTTCCGTTCAGTAACCCCTCCACCTCGCGCCCCAACAGAAGATCCCCCAATTACAGCTCGCGCAGTCCGCTTTACTACCTCTTAATCACAAAATCGGTTCGCCTCTCTTCTCGAACGGGAACTATGATCTATCACTATCCAACTCAAAAGGCGCCTCTTAAAATCCTACAGTTAAATGTAGGGCACGCGCCAGATGCACATGAAATAGCTCTCACATTGGCATACACAAGTGATATTGATATTATCCTAATCCAAGAACTATATATATTCAAAGATCTTAGCCGACAGATCACAAAAAAACACTCATCATATGAATGCTTCTCCCCAACTGACAGTTGGGCGATAAGTGGCCGACCACGAGTTCTCACCTATGTTCGAAAGAAGAAGGCATTCGGACCTCCCAGCTGCGCCC